GGGAAATTAACGTATAGCATAAATATGAATGGTTAGTTTCTGGTGTTTTTCGTTGGTGTTTAGTTTTCGCATCGCACAGTTTATCAAAAATATACAATCAATTTTCTCTCATTTTTTTCAACATTCTTGTCTAGGCCCGTTGGCCCAAGGATAGATTCAATGACTGAATTGTCGACTAAATAGTTGCATTTTAATATGAGAGGTATTCACCCAATTTCGTTTAAGCTGATGAAGGACTGGTAGAAGAAGAATTTTCCCACAATCATATGAGCAGAGCTGACGCTTCCATTCAATTTCACACAACGTTGCTTTCCCAAAGTTGTTCTCATCCAGGCACCAGCGGACAGCACTTTCGACCTCGCATCGGTCGAGGTCGACCCCCAGCGGGAGTCGAACCGTGACCGTGCAGAATGGGAGGTTGACACTCTGCCACGAGTGCCCTTGGGTCACAGGGCAGATGTGAGTTTCACATCGACCTCTACCAATGCGAGGTCGAAAGTGCAGTCCACTGGTGCCTGGATGAGAACAACTTTGGGAAAGCAAAGTTATGTGAAATTGAATGGAAGCGTCAGCTCTGCTCATATGATTGTGGGAAAATTCTTCTTCTACCAGTCCTTCATCAGCTCAAACGAAATTGGGTGCATACCTCTCATATTACTGATTTACTGGTAGTCCCGAAACTCTACTCGATTACGAAAATATGTCAAATTCAAACCTTGGCTAGCCATGTTATTGTTTCACTTTATTTTGCCTGAATTAGAAAATGTCTCTGCCTACTTTCTCTTCTAGTGACTATGCTTGGTAAATGGATTTGTAGTTCTCTCTTTCTTTCTTGCCACAAGCTGACGGCTGATACCATTTGCTCTTGTCGTTTGATGTTACTGAGACGATCAGGTTGAGGTGGTCCACGTGACGGACTCTCTCGGTTCGGGTGAAAAAGAGCAGAATAATGTAGGCTGTTGAAATTAATAGACTATAGGATTTAATGTAGGGAGGGGTTAGGGGTAGGAAGTTGTTTAATTGTCGCTTATATCTGATTGATAAGGTAAAGAAGAGAGAATGAGGGCGTGGAACCTTCTATCAAAAGAAGGCATTACAAATGGATATCTGATTAAGGCTTAGGACCATGTTCATCTTTATTCAACAAATCTGTCGACCTAATTAGATCTAAAAGACCTACTTACGGGAATACACACTCTCATTCGTGCGTCTCACTTAGCCATTAAGCCATGATCACCCTGCAATAATGGTGTTTCGCATCCAGACCTTCACATGCACAGATGCCAGCACACGCACACATGCATAACAGTGCCTAGATCAACATGACGTGAGTGTGAGAGAGAGAGAAAAAAAAATTAATCTAGTTCCTGTTCCAATCTCCTGTTCATTAAATATTTTTCCTCAAGAATTTCAATGGCTTTTCTATTCTTTTGTTTATTTGTGCTCTCATCATATGAAGCATTTATTTCTGTTGCCTTCCAATTGATCTCGTGTCCAGTCTGTGCGATGTGTTCCGCCAATTCTGATCTTTCACTATCCATTTTCCTGCAGAGTCTTTGATGTTCCTTGATTCGTGTTCTGATTTTTATTCAAGTTTCGTCAATATATTCCTGTTAACAGGCGCCGCAAGTCTCTTTGACGAGTTGTCGCTGAAGAGGGTGCTGAGAATGGCACGATTCACTAACGACGCCGACTACGATGCCGGCGGAACGTCTGGATATGTACCACATCCACGGTCCGACACTGGGGATAATCAAGCATACTATGGACTCTGGACAAGGTGCGCTCCTATAGGTCTTCCTGCCAATATGACCAATTTGCGAATACTTGGTCACACAACGACTACCATAGAAGTAGAATCCAGTTTCGACCTCGCCCCCCAGCGGGACTTGAACTATGACGATGCAATGTATCATCCTTTATCACCTTAATCGAAATAGGATGAATGCACTTCAGATATAAATGATCTGCTGGTAGTATTGAAAACCTACTTATAAACGAAACATTAGTAGCATAGTAGATTGCCATATACACCTTTGCTTCAAGGAACAATCCCACCACAGAATGTGACATATGAACTGCCTGGTTTTCCCTGAAATTCACATCTGCCCTGTGACAAAAGGGGATTCGTGGCAATGTGGCGTAGTGGTTAACGTGTCGAGACTATACAATGCAGTTTCATGGCTCGAGTCCCGCTGGGGATCTTGGTAAAACCTAGGCTAGATCGAGACCGCAATCCACCTCGGATAAGATCACCCTTGGGATGCAGGGATATGCAAAAGTAGACAAAAATATATGGTCTTCTCAT